GCTTAATCTTCCGTTTTCTGTAGGCACTGTAAGGAATTGCCTAGGAATTGGCTTGTGGGGGTGATTAGGCCTTGTTTTCGCATTCTGCAGCCATTATTTCAGCCTAGACGAGCGTCTGACCACTTTTTCCGCCGTTTCGGAGCATCTTATGAGCACCTGAGTGGTAGGTTTCGAGTTTTGGATATCTGGTGACGCCCCGCTTGGGTTTTCTGATGTTTTCCTTAAGGAATTGCCTTGTATAGCCCCCGCCCTCCCCTTGCAATCCCCCCTTGTTCTTTCCATTAGTTTGCATCCGGCACAGCGCCCCTGCCTTTGCTGGCTGCCTGGCACGCACACCCAAATGTAGCGCCCACACGTTTTGCGTCAGGAAGCATCCCCATTGTGAGGATGCCAGGGAGTTGGAAGTATATGGACCCATACCCGGGTTTGCGGGCGGGTGCAGACGACGCAGCAAACGAAACGAAAGCCCCCTTTCTGCTCTGCTTCCCCTCAGCACTTGTCTCCCGGTCTAACCGGTGACTCTAACAACCGATCCTTTCAACCTGCAGAAAAGGCAGCGCTCCGAAAGGTGTGCAGCTCGCCTGCCTGTAGGTTCGAGTCGAGCTGCGTGGGCTGTTACGCTTCACCTCCTCCGAACTCAACCTACGTGGGAGTTATGGCAACTGATCGTTTGGTTTCCCTCACCTTCTGTTGTAACAGCTCATGACAGCACCATGACCGCAAAAAGTGAAAATTTGTACGGAACATTTTCTTCGTCCCTTGCTAATGCCCCCTCCCCCCTGAACACGAAACTAAGATTTTCCCCCCCAGTGGTGCAAGCACCACGCGCTCTTCAAACCCAAAGAAACATTTTCCCCCTCTTCGCCACATATTACGATTACCGCACACCAGTGCGGAATAGACGGCACGCTCTTTCGCAACCAACACGGCATAGCTGCGCCTGCTTTTCTTGGTTCGTTTTTTTGTCACCGACCGGGGGGCCGTATCCAGGCATGCAACACATGTCAACTTCCCCCGCTGGTTGTACACCGTACGAGGATTCAAGTCGGTCAACCCCTGGCCTCAGCCGCAGCGGGCGCCACGATTCGGATCTCGGGTTGCTCCCTTCCCAGCTACTCGCCCTGACACCGATCTGTTGTCTGCTGCTCGTGCCGCCTGCAGCGGTGTATTTGTACTTGTTCGCTTTCTTATTTTTTTGATGGGGGCGGGAAAGGCACCCCCTGGAACTGGAGTCCCTGGCGTAGCGTAGGATCCGATTATAAACTCCCGATTATAAACCCCGCAGGGAAAGTGTGCGCTCTCTACCTGAGGCCTTGGGGTCCCGACAGGCTCGTGCTCAGCGCAGTCGAGTTGGGATGAAAATGGGAACTCGCGTTTGTACGGTCCATTCCCTCCAAAGCTCCGCCATTTACTATTGACTTTGCCGTCACTTTATAAATACCAAAGTCAATTGTCGACCTGCGTTGGCGGTTCTTGTGAGGGTTTCCCGGGTTGGGTCCAGCTCGGAGCTGCCGTCCATCTATGTTCCTAACTATGGTGTCACTTCAGCTCAAAGTTTGAGTCAAACAGCCGAAAAAGACTTGGCTTCGCAACGGCGAAAAAGAAAAGGACGAGGCCTTTCCACTTGTCTGTAAATAGAGCTGTCCACCTTGTAAGTCCGAGAGAGAGGAATGACAAGCAATGCAACACAGGAAAAAGAAAGTCAGACTGTTTTCGAAGCGAGGAACATGATGCATACCCTTTGTGTGACGAGGCTTATCCCTTTGATTCTCTCCCCTTCGTTCTGCATGCAGACCAGCTTTCAGAACTGACACGCGACCACCAAAGCGAAATGCAGCTCAGCCTCTGGCGGCTTGGAGTCTACGCCTCCGAACCTAATTCTTGCAACCACGAACCCTAATTCTTGGAGTTGATCCAATTCTCCCTGCCCGATCGAATGTTTTCCGACTTGTCGGGCGATGTAGTTTTTGGGCTACCAAACTAAATAATTTGGCGTTACTACACTGCAATCTAATCTGCATCGCCGGCTCTTCGCACGTGAAGTTCGGTGAAGGACGAACGCGCGACAGCCGGAACCGATGGCTCGGAACCGATGGCTCGGAACTGGCTCGGAACCGATGGCTCGGAACCGATGGCTCGGAACCGATGGCTCGGAACCGATGGCTCGGAACCGATGGCTCGGAACCGATGGCTCGGAACCGATGGCTCGGAACCGATGGCTCGGAACCGATGGCTCGGAACCGATGGCTCGGAACCGATTGCTCGGAACCGATTGCTCGGAACCGATTGCTCGGAACCGATTGCTCGGAACCGATTGCTCGGAACCGATTGCTCGGAACCGATTGCTCGGAACCGATTGCTCGGAACCGATTGCTCGGAACCGATTGCTCGGAACCGATGGCTCGGAACCGATTGCTCGGAACCGATGGCTCGGAACCGATGGCTCGGAACCGATGGCTCGGAACCGATGGCTCGGAACCGATGGCTCGGAACCGATGGCTCGGAACCGATGGCTCGGAACCGATGGCTCGGAACCGATGGCTCGGAACCGATGGCTCGGAACCGATGGCTCGGAACCGATGGCTCGGAACCGATGGCTCGGAACCGATGGCTCGGAACCGATGGCTCGGAACCGATGGCTCGGAACCGATGGCTCGGAACCGATGGCTCGGAACCGATGGCTCGGAACCGATGGCTCGGAACCGATGGCTCGGAACCGATGGCTCGGAACCGATGGCTCGGAACCGATGGCTCGGAACCGATGGCTCGGAACCGATGGCTCGGAACCGATGGCTCGGAACCGATGGCTCGGAACCGATGGCTCGGAACCGATGGCTCGGAACCGATGGCTCGGAACCGATTGCTCGGAACCGATTGCTCGGAACCGATTGCTCGGAACCGATTGCTCGGAACCGATTGCTCGGAACCGATTGCTCGGAACCGATTGCTCGGAACCGATTGCTCGGAACCGATTGCTCGGAACCGATTGCTCGGAACCGATTGCTCGGAACCGATTGCTCGGAACCGATTGCTCGGAACCGATTGCTCGGAACCGATTGCTCGGAACCGATTGCTCGGAACCGATTGCTCGGAACCGATTGCTCGGAACCGATTGCTCGGAACCGATTGCTCGGAACCGATTGCTCGGAACCGATTGCTCGGAACCGATTGCTCGGAACCGATTGCTCGGAACCGATTGCTCGGAACCGATTGCTCGGAACCGATTGCTCGGAACCGATTGCTCGGAACCGATTGCTCGGAACCGATTGCTCGGAACCGATTGCTCGGAACCGATTGCTCGGAACCGATTGCTCGGAACCGATTGCTCGGAACCGATTGCTCGGAACCGATTGCTCGGAACCGATTGCTCGGAACCGATTGCTCGGAACCGATTGCTCGGAACCGATTGCTCGGAACCGATTGCTCGGAACCGATTGCTCGGAACCGATTGCTCGGAACCGATTGCTCGGAACCGATTGCTCGGAACCGATTGCTCGGAACCGATTGCTCGGAACCGATTGCTCGGAACCGATTGCTCGGAACCGATTGCTCGGAACCGATTGCTCGGAACCGATTGCTCGGAACCGATTGCTCGGAACCGATTGCTCGGAACCGATTGCTCGGAACCGATTGCTCGGAACCGATTGCTCGGAACCGATTGCTCGGAACCGATTGCTCGGAACCGATTGCTCGGAACCGATTGCTCGGAACCGATTGCTCGGAACCGATTGCTCGGAACCGATTGCTCGGAACCGATTGCTCGGAACCGATTGCTCGGAACCGATTGCTCGGAACCGATTGCTCGGAACCGATTGCTCGGAACCGATTGCTCGGAACCGATTGCTCGGAACCGATTGCTCGGAACCGATTGCTCGGAACCGATTGCTCGGAACCGATTGCTCGGAACCGATTGCTCGGAACCGATTGCTCGGAACCGATTGCTCGGAACCGATTGCTCGGAACCGATTGCTCGGAACCGATTGCTCGGAACCGATTGCTCGGAACCGATTGCTCGGAACCGATTGCTCGGAACCGATTGCTCGGAACCGATTGCTCGGAACCGATTGCTCGGAACCGATTGCTCGGAACCGATTGCTCGGAACCGATTGCTCGGAACCGATTGCTCGGAACCGATTGCTCGGAACCGATTGCTCGGAACCGATTGCTCGGAACCGATTGCTCGGAACCGATTGCTCGGAACCGATTGCTCGGAACCGATTGCTCGGAACCGATTGCTCGGAACCGATTGCTCGGAACCGATTGCTCGGAACCGATTGCTCGGAACCGATTGCTCGGAACCGATTGCTCGGAACCGATTGCTCGGAACCGATTGCTCGGAACCGATTGCTCGGAACCGATTGCTCGGAACCGATTGCTCGGAACCGATTGCTCGGAACCGATTGCTCGGAACCGATTGCTCGGAACCGATTGCTCGGAACCGATTGCTCGGAACCGATTGCTCGGAACCGATTGCTCGGAACCGATTGCTCGGAACCGATTGCTCGGAACCGATTGCTCGGAACCGATTGCTCGGAACCGATTGCTCGGAACCGATTGCTCGGAACCGATTGCTCGGAACCGATTGCTCGGAACCGATTGCTCGGAACCGATTGCTCGGAACCGATTGCTCGGAACCGATTGCTCGGAACCGATTGCTCGGAACCGATTGCTCGGAACCGATTGCTCGGAACCGATTGCTCGGAACCGATTGCTCGGAACCGATTGCTCGGAACCGATTGCTCGGAACCGATTGCTCGGAACCGATTGCTCGGAACCGATTGCTCGGAACCGATTGCTCGGAACCGATTGCTCGGAACCGAAAAAGTGGTCGTGACAGGGCTCGAACCTGGGACCGTTGGCTTATTGGACCAATGCTCTACCGACTGAGCTACACGACCGATACTTCGAGCGCCAGAAAATTCTCGAGCCCGTGCGAAATCATCTGGTGGATCGAAGCCTTCCGGTGGTGAAGGTCTTGCCGAAGGGAGCGAACGATTCGGAAAAAAGGTGATACTTTCTCGATTAATGCGTGTCATCCTTGCGCAGGGACCATGCTAATCTTCTCTGTATCGATCCAATTTTAGCGGATGTCCCATTTCTGGGCTCCAACAGTGCAGCATCGGGGTTTCCCGCTGTTAGCGAAATTGCTGCCCAACGGAAGAAAAATGCATCGATGCGGGAATTGATTCAATCGATCAATTCCTTCTCCGGAAGGATTTGAATTCAATCGATCAGTTCCTTCTCTGGAAGATTATTTTAGAGTACCTTCCTCCGCCGGAAATCGTTTTTTTGCTTCCCCGAGATATTTGCCTCAAGTTTCACCGCGAGAACAGCTGCGTTCACTGATTCGAAGACGGTACCTTGCTGAGTCAATACCCAAGATAGTACGGGTTTTCTTAGAGTTGATCAAGATAGTACATGCAGTGTGGGGCATAGCTGTCAGCCACAAGGTAGCCACTAGTGGCTAATTGGGAGCCACAAAGTAGCCACAAACCTTGTGGCTACCTTTGTGGCTAATTATGCAAAATTTTGATACCCAGGAAAACCACGTGAAACTAGTTTTTTTGGCCAGAAAATGCATCTAAAACACAATTTCTGATGATTTTGACAGGTTGAGAGGCCCTCTCAGAGGGTTTCAGGACAGAAATGGTAAGCGCTTTGCAAGTAGAATGGGTCTGTCACTCTTGCCAACCTGAATTATGCATGATTCTGTGTGCATAATGCCTACTACTACTATAGTAGCAGTAGCGGTTTAGTAAACCGTTTACCAATGGTACCCCAGGGTGCGCAACCAGGATGCCGAGCCCAGGGTGTAGCAACTAACCCGTATTCTGGCCCAAAACCCTGTCAAAATCGTCAGAAAACGTGTTTCAGATGCATTTTCTGGCCGAAAAAGTTAGTTCCACGCGGTTTTCCGTGATACCAAAATTTTGCATAATTAGCCACAAAGGTAGCCACAAGGTTTGTGGCTACTTTGTGGCTAAATGGGGCCACAATGTGGTAACCTTGTGGCTGACAGCTATGTGTGGGGGGCTACCAGCTACCCACCAGAGCTACCGGGTAGCTCGTGGTAGCTCAAAAAGTGGAAAAAATGGATTGGGTCCGAAACTCGGCCAAAAATGCGAAAAAATGCAAAGAAACGTGACGAAATGCCTTTTTCCGGCTTTTTTCGACCCCCCCCTGGTCAGTGTAGCGACAGCCACGGCAGTCAGTGGCAGCCACCAGGCTGTTGGGGGGGTATGAGGCCCAGAATACCCAAAACCATCCAAAAAACACGAAAATCTACCCGGAAAACGGTGTTTAGCGTGTTTTGGGTGGTCTTTTTTTCGATCAAAATTTTTGCACATTTAGCCACAATTTAGCCACAACATTGTGGCTAAAGTTGTGCCACATTGTGGCAAGTTGTGGCTAACCAGCCCTGCACCAGCCATTGGTGGCTCAGACTGGTTGGGATTTTTTTGCCGATCCACACAGCTGTCGTAGCAGACCTTTTTTGACGAATTTTTGCTCGCGATCAGCTCCGATGAAGAGATCCGTGAAAATTTGACTCGGGGTGCTAAGAGTATGTGCGTGGTTTGCGCCTTACAAGTTGCAGGGAACCCGGGAGTGGCATCGGGCTTAGGACGGGTATCGATCCCCTGGCTCATGACATTTCTTCGCTGGTCCACGTAGCAGACCTTTTTCGAGGGCTAATTCCCATTCTCGAACACAATTTAACTTTTTGCCCATTCTCGAACACTCGCTAACTTTTTGCCCATTCTCGAACACTTTTTAACTTTTTGCCCATTCTCGAACAGTCGCCTAACTTTTTGGGGACAATTCCCATTATAGTACACTTCCTTATGTTTGTGCCCATTCTCGAACACTAATTAACTTTTTGCCCATTCTCGAACACTCGCTAACTTTTTGCCCATTCTCGAACACTTTTTAACTTTTTGCCCATTCTCGGTAACTTTGTGCCCATTCTGGAACACCATTTAACTTTTTGCCCATTCTCGAACATTCCAGTTTTTGTGGTGAAAATGTCACTTCCCCGAGACATTTGCCTCAAGTTTCACCGCGAGAACAGCTGCGTTCACTGATTCGAAGACGGTACCCTTGCTAACTTCAGGCCGCAGCCTCTTCGGCATCTAAACTCGGGTTCTTGGTTGCTTCAAGCTCTTCTACACGTGACGGTGGTGTGCGAGCTACCCCGTTTAAAACCCCGGCACAGACTTCACTGAGTTTGCTCGTCTTGCTTGCAAATTGCGCGGCGGCCATTGAGTGACCTTAGTTCACTGACCTACAGCTTGCAAACTCTGCAGCAAAGTGATCCAAAAAATTTGACCGAAACTTTTTGGGTCAAAAATTTAGGACAAAAATTTTGGGTCAAAAATTTAGGACAAATTTTTTGGTCAAAAATTCGGGGTCCAATTTTTTTGGTCAATTTTTTTTCAGAGTTGAAGTGGCGGTTACACTTGGCACATGGCTGCATGATGGCAGGAGAAATGGCTCCTGCCATGCGCCCTGGCGGCTCGCCGGCAATTCCAGTCTCTCTCTCAGCCTGCCAGCCTGCGGCAGGGAGGACAAGATCCAGTCACCATCCGCCAGCTCCTGATTATTTTCAGACGACTGGCACTTTTTCTTTGCAGCTTCTACTGTAAGAGTAGCATCACTCAAATCTTGATTGGCTGCGGCGTTACTTACCGCTCTGAGTCTCTCCCGCTCCTCCTCTGGAGTCATTCGTGACGTCGCGCCCGTCGCTGGTTACTACTCGTGGTAAAACAGTGGCTCTGATTCTGAAGAGGTTTCGGCACAGAATTAGGAAGCGCTACAAGTAGAACGGGCTGGTCACTCGTGCATACCTGAATTATGCACGAATCTGTGTTTAGAAAACCGTTTACCCGTAGTCTGCGGTGTCAATGACCCAGTGCGCAACCAGGATACCGAGCCGGGACGCAGCAGCCAACCACAATGCTGGCACCTTGTTCGAGGAACGGATCCGACGGAAATCGGAATCGGAAATGGCGAACCCAAAAATGGCTGGGATTTTTTGGATGTATGGGTGGTGAGTTCGAATCCCACCCTGGGCAAATTTCAATGTTCGAGAATGGGCAAAAAGTTAGGCGACTGTTCGAGAATGGGCAAAAAGTTAAAAAGTGTTCGAGAATGGGCAAAAAGTTAGCGAGTGTTCGAGAATGGGCAAAAAGTTAAATTGTGTTCGAGAATGGGAATTAGCCCAACTTTTTGCCCATTCTCGAACATTGAAAATTGCCCAGGGTGGGATTCGAACTCACCACCCATACATCCAAAAAATCCCAGCCATTTTTGGGTTCGCCATTTCCGATTCCGATTTCCGTCGGATCCGTTCCTCGAACAAGGTGCCAGCATTGTGGTTGGCTGCTGCGTCCCGGCTCGGTATCCTGGTGACACCGCAGACTACGGGTAAACGGTTTTCTAAAGGTATTGTGCAGATTCGTGCATAATTCAGGTATGCGCGAGTGACCAGCCCGTTCTACTTGTAGCGCTTCCAAATTCTGTGCCGAAACCTCTTCAGAATCAGAGCCACTGTTTTACCACGAGTAGTAACCAGCGACGGGCGCGACGTCACGAATGACTCCAGAGGAGCGGGCCAATCAAGATTTGAGTGATGCTACTCTTACAGTAGAAGCTGCAAAGAAAAAGTGCCAGTCGTCTGAAAATAATCAGGAGCTGGCGGCTGGTGACTGGATCTTGTCCTCCCTGCCGCAGGCTGGCAGGCTGAGAGAGAGACTGGAATTGCCGGCGAGCCGCCAGGGCGCATGGCAGGAGCCATTTCTCCTGCCATCATGCAGCCATGTGCCAAGTGTAACCGCTGCCACTTCAACTCTGAAAAAAAATTGACCAAAAAAATTGGGAAACTTACAAATATATATATGCGCGATAAACTGCCGAAAAAACTGTGCGCATACGAAACGTATGCGCGAAAAACTGTTTTAATTTCACTGGGGTCCCAAATTCTTCACTCCATTTTTTTACTACCCCCATTTTTTAACCACTACCCCCCCTTTTTTAACCACTACCCCCCCTTTTTTAACCACTACCCCCCCTTTCTTAACCACTACCCCCCCTTTTTTAACCACTACCCTAAAAACTGGTCACGAGTGAAGAAAAAACGGTTCAGGTGGGTAAAAACAATGATGTTACCAATGGAAAAACGACAAAAAAGAAGAAGAATGATGTAAACAGCTTGCCATGTGATTATTTTTTGGTGCCCTTAGGGTGCGGCTTGATAGCATCTGTACCAATCTGAATGATAGCTCCCTCAGCAATGTTGAGCTGCTGTCAGACGAACTGCTGTCAGATGATGGTGTTGGCACTTTTCTCTTCCTTCCGGGCATGATTCTGTTCTTGGTCTCCCCTTTTTCTGTATATCCTGGGTATTTTTTACCTTCATTCCGTTAAAAACACTCGTAACTCTGTTTTCTTCACTACCCCACTTTTTCCGGGTCGTTTGGAGTGACTCATTTGGGACACCAGTGAAATAAAATTATGTTATCACCCATTAATGGCGAAAATTTTCACTCTCGAACCCAATTTTTTGGCACTCGACCCTCCGGGTCTCGTGCCAAAAAATTGGGTTCTCGAGTGAAAATTTTCGCCATTATTAACAGGTAATAAATAGCTATTTTTACAAATATATGCGCGAAAAAACTAAAATTGACAAATATATGCGCGGTGCATATGTTTGTCAGTTTTAGTTTTTTCGCGCATATATTTGTAAAAAAAACAGTTTTTCGCGCATATATTTGTAAAAAACAGTTTTTTCGCGCATATATTTGTAAAAAACAGTTTTTTCGCGCATATGCCACAATTCTTGTTGGGAGACCCTTTCAAAAAAATTCCCCCCAAAGTGCCTATTTCGAGTGTTTAGCCTCATTAAAGCCATCAAAAGTGAATTCAGACGGGTTTTTGACGCCAAACACAGCATCGCGAGAATATGGGGTCCACAATGAATGTACTTCAACGTACTATACAAAATGACATACACTCACACATTTGTAAAAATACCATGAAGTTCGTAGCCTATTATAGGGCCCACAAAGTGACTATGTCGGGTGTATGATGCCAAAAACAACGAGAGGT